TAAGGAGTGTGTTATTTTTGAAATCTTCAGTTAAGAGTTCGATCACAGAAAATTTCTGTCAACTGTTCTTTTTCTTCACGAGATTCCTGAATTTAATAGTTAAAATTACTTTGTTTCTTTGTGTACCACCTATTTTTCTCTTGATAGGTTCGAATCCCGCGAACGGGCTGGCTGTTTTAGTGGTTTTTAAATTCTTTTTATCGGTTCAGCCAAAAATTAAGGAGTGTGTTATTTTTGAAATCTTCAAGTAAGAGTTCGATCACAGAAAATTTCTGTCAACTGTTCTTTTTCTTCACGAGATTCCTGAATTTAATAGTTAAAATTACTTTGTTTCTTTGCGTACCACCTATTTTTCTCTTGATAGGTTCGAATCCCGCCAACGGGCTGGCTGTTTTAGTGCACCAGTATAACCAGCACGGCAATTCTGAAAATATTCTGCTTGCTATTTTATGGAAGGTAGGTGAAAAACTGCAATTCCCCTCCCCAAAATATAAGATGAAAACAGTGAAATAGTTAAATTATATCCCTCCTTACAAAAAATAAACTGGCTTATTGAGGATCAAGATTGCATAAAATCAAAGCAATGATTTAATGAAATTGTTGAGGCATCATGCTTTTCTATTACTGGTACTAAACATACTTCTTGGCAAAAGTTTTCCCTGATTTATGGGACAATTTGTAACTCAATTTTCAGTCATTTCTCAATCCCAATTATCTGGCCACTACTGAGCCTTATTCATATCAGATACTTGAGTGTGTGTCAATGATGAAATTATGGTGTCCTGCCAACATCTAACCATACCTATAGGAAGATTGAAATTTTTGCAGTGAAGAATACGCTAGAACTGTGATCTCAAATTCGCAGTCTCCGAATTTTATGTGGCCAATGAATATATTTTAATGATGCATTTATTGATATACAATGCTTATAATTTGGGAGACATAAAGATATTGACAGTGCTTATGTACAAGACTGCTATCGAAAGAAAAACAATAGAATGAATAGGTTGGGTCTTTATCACTGTATCCATATCGAGAAGACCTGGATAAGATTGTTCAAGATCCACAGTGATGAATGAGAATCATTATTTGGCACTTTCAGTGCAACAGCTCAGGACCATTTATATCTTCACAGCTCTTGTGTGAACTGCTGCCACTGGAACCTTACTTTTGTAGTCTACACTTGCTGTACTACAGCTGTACCCACATGATGGCCAAACAATTCAAGATATGCACATTCTTATTCAACACAAGGGTCAAAAACTAATATAGCTACCATCAATCATTTCTGATAGATGGTTGATTCTGCAGTACTATTTCAAACATTTGGACCCCAGATCAGTTAAAAAAAATTCAATCAAATTTTCTTAATTTTCTTTTATTTTTCATTTGCTTTCTTGACTGCCTCTCTCTTTTTTAATTAATCTTTAAACTACTAAAAACTCCAATTTCCTCTACATAATCTACACATTTATTTTTGGCAGTATAATTTTTTCTTTATTTTTTTTTAAATTTAACATTAGAAAAATGCTTATTTATCTAAATATACAAAGATCCATATTATCAACTTCATAAGTCTCAGAATGCAGTTAATGAAAGAAGAAAAGCTTACATTCATTTACATGTTTATGATACCAATAAGAGTCATAGATACCAAATCCTATCAGTTTTAACATTCCACAATTCATAAACATGCTATTTCATTTTTCAAGTTCTGTTTGATTTATGTATTAACACAAAGAGTTTAAGAATTTCAAAATTAGGTTTATTAATTATTAAAGTCATGCAGAATGCAAAATTATTTAAATAATCCAGAGATAATAACTAAATCAAAATTGGTGGTAAACTAACTATGAGTAAGAATACAAATCAACACAAACAAAAACAAATTTTGATTTACATTTTTCCTGTTAGCTAGTTTACCATCAATTCTGATTTAATTATTATCTTTATTATCTCTTGATTATATACATATGTGTGTGTATGAGACAGAGAAAGAGATAAAAAAATATGTTAATCAAAATTCTAACTTAAATTTGCAAGGCCTTTTAACTTTGATTTTGGGTGTCTTCCCTTTTCCATTCTAAAACTAATAACTGCTTATCATAAAACACTCTGGACTACATCATTTTTAAATTAATCTATGCAATATGACTTTTATACAATGCTGCTGATATTTTGTGAACCAACCAAAAATCATTTTTAGAGTGTCATTAACTAACCAATCAAATGATACAAAAACTAAAACCAATTCACTTTGAATTAAGATTTTATCCTGAACGTATCACACTTGCTTCCAGTTTTTCTAGACTGCTAAACCTGAAAACATCTGCTCTTTCTAAAAATATAAAAAGCCTTAAACAGGCCTGCTTATTGCAACCATTTTATCTATGTAGCTTTATAACAAAAATAGTAGTCAACCATAAATAAAAAGGAAATATTATTAATTTGGTTATATCTAACAATTTATTCAGTCTGTGTCCACAATGTATCAACATAACTTCAAGTTCTTCTACAGTATGCTTCAACCTCTGTGCCAGTAATATATATAGTATATGTAACAAAAGAAAATAAGGTGTAAACAGAATTTTCAAAACTTAAACCCAGCGAAATTGCTGCCAATATTTTTGTAAACTAGTTAATTAAAGAAGATTATAACTTTTAGGCAATTTACAATTTTTTGAATAAAATAAAAAACTATTAATTAAATTTACAATTATAAACTATAAATAGTCATTACTGTGATGTAAAGTGTCAACAGCCTTTCGCTAAGAGTAACAGTTTACAGCAAAAATTAAAATCAAAATTTAGGTAAACAAAGTAAAATAGGAGAAATAGTGTGTAATGAATAATGCACTTATAGTATCATCATTTTCTCCCTGAAATCTTCAGAAGTGAGCAACTGATACTTTTTACAGTATCTGGTACACAAAAAATACATTTCATTCCCCTTAATTTATCATATGCTTTTTGAATTAAAATTAAAAAAATTACCAAAAATATAATACATATCTGCATTTGATAAATTCAGAGACTACATCTATGCATTTTTAGGTCACAACAGAATTGTAAAATTATACAAGAGGCATGGTCTGTGAGTAAGCAGAAATAGCAAGAAATGTCACTGTACACGTGAAAAATTCTTTGAACACTATATACGAACATATATCATTTTCTGCTGTCATATATGCTGCCATTGCATGTATGAAAAATTAGTTTATAATTGTTAGTTTAATTAATAATTTTATTTTATAATTTGAAAACATTTTAAATTGCCTTAAGTTATAATCTACTTTAATTATTATAAATACACTAGTGTGCAAAATTTAAGCAACTTTTTTAATTTTGGCCATAATTCTACAGAAAAATAACTGGGAGACATGAAATTCATACAGCAATCAATGTAGTACTTAAAGAATGAGGAAAGTATAGTAGTAAAAAAATTACTAGGTCATGTTCAGTATGGAACAAAGAGAAAAAGTTTTATTGACAGAATGGTGTTGGTACAGAAAAAATTTTCTGGCCAAGAGACAGAAAACTATGAACTAAAGAGATATGACTTCCTTTAACTGCAATGGTTGCATTGCACCATCTATCAATACTCAACACTAAATTATCTAACAGTTCTTGAGATAAGAGTTTCATTCTTCAAGGAGCATTTGTTTCAGTTGTCTGGTGTTCTATGGAGGATAAGAACGTACTGCCCAGAGTTTCTCATAATTACTGCATACATGTTCAACGGGATTTAAATCACAGCAGCATGCTGGCCAGTCCATTCAGTGGATATCTTTGCTTTCCAACAGCTCAACAACAGCATGAGTCCTGTGTGGCCACGTATTGTCATCCATACAAGTCAGGACCAATGGAGCCCCGAAAAAGATGCAGATAAGAGAGGACAAATTCATCCCAGTAACAATCTAAATAATAAAATGTGAAGCTCTATCCATCCATTCATCATAATGCCTACCTATACAAGCACAACAGGATTAACCCAGCGGTCTCTTTCCCTGATGTTAGAGGGATGAAAGCATGTTCCTACCTATCTCCATGTTGGGAGAGTACATGACTCCATTGATGGCTGTCCAGTTTGTGCTCTCTATACCACTGTAAATGGTGCGGCTAATGGACTACTGATGGTATGCAGCTTTTAGGAGAGTGAGCAAAAGGATATTTATATGAAGTCATCTGGCCACAGCAAACCGGGTCACCTGTCATCTGGCTACCATGTGCACCTGTTGAGTTCTATGGTCCACTGTCTGGTTTCGATCTCTTTTCACCTGCAGGGATATAGATCATTTAGCAGTCACTGTTGTTTTTCTTAGCCAACCTTTGTTACAGCTGTACCTGTCACTTGGAAGGTTTTCCAAGCCCATGAAACAACACTTTTATCAGTCTCAAACTGTTAGGCGATACACAAAGTATGCCCCTTCTCAAGCTTACCAATCATTCTACCATCTGTAAAGGCATCCTGATGTTTTCTTATAGCCATACTGCATGTACAATCTCACTTTCACTTGCAAAAAAAAGTCTGGAAATATGCCTTCCTTTCAGCATTTTTAAGTTGCCTTGCACTGCACGTGCTGACTTCTCATGTTTTGTGTGCCCTGATGTACCCTCTGATGTCATAGTGCTGATATTTGCATATACATTACCTTTCCACAGGGATTTTCATTGTACTGATCACAAAGAGTTCTTTTCGGCAATTTCACGGGCATGTTGAATTTGTAGCTTAAGTTTTGCACACTAGTGTATATATATATATATACACACACACACACATGAACACTGTAGAAACTCACCAAGTTTTAAAATACATACACACGTTAGGACAAATACATATACATTTCTGCAAACGACTGCCATAAGATATTTTGGGAATATTAATACATATTTGTCAATATTAAGAAATGAATGCACAGCATTATATAAAGTATGAAATAAGTTACAAAAGTAAACACTTATAAATAATTAAGGAAACATTTTACATTAAAAGAATTTACCTAATATCTTTCCAAATTTGGCACATGCCAGTAAAACAGTTAGAATACAGGAACATTGGCCACCCATAGCTGCCTTGAGCAAACTTCATAAAACGCAGAGCCATTTCTGGAGTCATCCAAAACTGATTAGTGGGTGGAGTGAAGACACCAGGACTGGATATAATACTTCCCTGAACAGCCCCTGTTGATAAAATAATGTAACTAAATATATCTATGACAAATAAATTCTTTGTATACAGGTTTGATTATTTCATGCTCTAGATCAGCTAAGATAAAATCATAGCTAGGCCAACCTGAGCAATTCAGAATTCATCAGCTGACTCTACAGCCTTACAACTATTAGCATATCTATTTTAAACACTAAAGCAGAATTTTACGATATATATATATATTTCAAAATCCTTAGCAAAAGCTATAATTATCAGAAAGTATGCATGGCATGTGTGGCATCTAGCTTCCATACATACATACAATTAGTTACAAGCAGTATAGAGCACTGAAGAGCAAATGAATTAGGGATGGCTGGCATTATGCAAATTTTAAGCTGTGTGCAAGTCTAGAAGTGACTTGCAAATGACATAAGCAGCAGTTTGATAAGATAAGGAGCATTCTCACGGTATCAATAACAGTCAAAAGCAAAATGAGTAAGAATATGCATCTAAGCGCATTTGATCGTAGCCAAATTGTTGGAGCCAGACAAATCGGTCATTCCATTTCAGAAGTACTTAGATTTGCCCTCACCACTGTGTCATGGATGTACTGCGAGTACACCCTTAACACCATTTTGAGTAAAATCTATCCTTGCCAGGGTCAACTACCATGCACAATAGTGTATGGATGATCGAGGTTGCCATTGGCTAGCCCCCATTGTACCAGCAGATAAATGGGCCACAGTGCAACAGATCATCTATCAATTTAACTCTGATGCACATAAACGTCCTCTCAATCAGGAACAAGTGTCCTATAAAGGCCCGTCTACATGAAGCGATTTTCTCGGCCGACTTTCTCGTCGAGCAACAATTTTAAGGATCTGCACATGCGGCAAAAATCGGTCATGTTCTCTGCTGAGATTTCAGAATTGGTGTTCACTGCTCACCAGCGTATGATAAAATCGAGTCTCTAGCCAATAAGATTGCTTTGAGTGATCACGTGTTTTTCTCCTCATTTGGAATAATAAACATGGCTGCATTTGGCAGGAGCGAAACTCAAAATTTTCAACTAATAGATTTCTATAGACAAAATGTTATGTTGTGCTGTGGGACACGAGTAAGTAAATTTTAAAAATAAAAAATTAAGGGATTCTCTTATTTTGTTAAGCTTTGTCTTCATTACTTTAGCTATTCAAATATTTTCTATTCAGGGTGAAAATTATTTTAACTCCCCCAAGAAAAGTTCCAAAAACTATTAATGATGCCATGTCATGGGTACTAGATGAAAATATTCAGAAAACTACTTGAAACTGTGGTCGCACTTATTGAAAAAATTCAGGAAACAAAATCTATAGTTGAGAAATTAAGGGCCGATTTAAAGCAGCGCAAAGACTCATTAACTTCGCTGAAAATGGGAGTTAATCAGGTGATGAAGTACATAGCTTTTCTGACACCTCCCGCACGAGCGATCACAGCCCAGGGGTAAAGACCAGAGCAGGTTTCCTCTGTGCATCCAGATCGTGGGTTCGATCCCCACCTTAATTTTGGACTTTCTGCACCTGCAAGGATGGCCTTTGGCATGTGTTTTAGATCTACTGGTGAAAACTTTAGTAGTTGCATACCAGCTCAAAAGAAAGTCACAAGTCACAAACTCAGTTTTGTGTTAATTGAGTTTTGCGAAAACAAATTACAGCCCAATTGATACAATGTTGCTAAATTTTATTAGCTGATTAACTGATAGAGTAATATGATCATAATTTTCAGACTGTATTAATTATTTAATTATGTTGATATTAGTTTTCTAATGTTCAATAAATATACTACTTAAGACTTTGCACCTTTACGATAGTTCATATTTGAAATTTTTGCATTGAAATAACACTGTTGCTTTGTAATGTAGTAATCTTTATTACTACTTTTTACTTATACTGGTTTGATATTCATGACATTATTGTCTATTTATTCATTAATAAAGTTTTTGATTTAAAGTACAGTAGTTACTTATTTTTTCTGAAACATGGTTATTTTATTATTTCACGATTTAAGTGCACAAATAGGAGTGTCAGAAAATGAAGTAAAAAAAAAAAAAAAAAAAAATTAAATAAATAAAAAAAAAAAAAAATGAGTAATCTATGTATACACAAAGGAAATGCATATTTTTTCAAAATTTTGCTGCAAACTAAATTTAGCAAAAAATCAAAATCACGCAGCATCATCCGTAAATACTTTCCGAATTGTACCTGTCTTCAATACGCAACTCCCGGAGCAAGGTATTATGAAGGCACCTTGAATTTCTCGTCGTTTGGCCCAATTTCTGGTCCAAAAGCAATTTCTTTTTTTTTTGCCCCCTTCTGTAGCAGTAGCTAAGTTCAAAACTGTAGCTGTATCTATAGTAGCAATTTAGAATAGTCATCCATTATTTTGACTATTTAAAAATACCGTAAACTTTGTTTACAAATCGTAGACAGCGTGACGCTGTAGAGGACGGGACTTCCTTTCACAGTGATTGGCTGAGTGAATTACTGTACTAACGAGAAAAATCGTTCCGTGTAGACGGGCCTTAAAAGTCCCTCTGCTGACTGCACAAAACATAGCACAACGATTAGCATGGGCACGAGAACATCACTAATGGACCATCAAGATGTGAAAAATTATTGCCTAGCATGATGAGTTGATATGATACATGTCAATGTCATAAACCATATGAAGCAATGGATTTTTCCCGGCAATAGGGAACTCTCAAGCTGGTGGAGGTGGTATTCTCATTTGGGGAGTGTTCACATGGACTGAAATGGGACCCCTGGTAAGTGTGACATCATCTCCCAGAGATGAATGTTACTGAAATAGCCTTAATAACCATCTGTTCCTGTATATTCAGTTTTGACAGCTAATTACAGAGATTATCTTTCAACGAGACAATACACCAAGCCATTGCTCCCGAACTGTATTGGAATGATTGGATGAACATTCGACAGACCTGCACAGGTTTTCCTGGCCTTTCAGGTCACCTGATCTGAATCTGATTGAGCAGATCTGGGATGCAACTGAAAGAGGCTCTGACTACCTTTCATCTAATCTTCGTGAATTCTGGGAGGTTTTTCAGGAGTCATGGATATGTATGGCTTTTGCTCGCTTCCAGTGTCTTCGAGTCCATGCCATGATGAACCGCAGTTGCTATCAAGGGGAAAGGTGGTACTATGCACTACTAGACAAGTATCCCTAACTCATTTGCTCTTCAATGTATTGATGATATAATGACTTATATCCTATTCCACGGTACAGCAAGTGACCTTAACTCTACCATATATACGCTAATTGTTTCACCCTTCGTGCTGCTTTCAATTTAAAAATACATGCCTGCTAGGAATTATAAGCGATTTAGGATTTATGTGAGTTCTAAGTATTGTTTTTAACACATCATTATGTTTATTGGAAGCATTATCAGGAGCCAGCAAGTTATTTAACAGACTATACATTTTCTCGGACAAACTGGAAATGAGAACTTTTCCACGTTTATTGGGTGGAACATTTTGTATACCTAAATAACTTTCAAATCTTTTAAAAAATTATTCAGACTGTTCTTCATGTTAATTATATTTTTTGAACTGAACAGAAAGTTTTCAATTATTCGTTGGTTGAGTAATAACTGAAGTAAGTTTCTCCATCAAAGCTTTATTTTGCTGTATTAGCTCAATTACAAGATGCTCCATTTTTAATTCCTCTGAAAAAAAAAAAGTAATTATAAAAACTTTATCTTCAGTCTTTGGGGAAACCCCAATCCAACAGTATTACTTTGTCTGCAGTAAAGCTTGTCGTGAAAAAACTTCTTCATTCAATTCAAATCCATAGACCTTGTCACCACCTTCTGTTATGTCTTTAGTAGGTATTTATTACACACAACACTGTATTTCGCCACATGACACTTTACTGCATAAAAACTAAATAAAGACACATCACACTGTACATAAAAACTTACAAATACACATGTATAATTCCAACCACTGACACTTACTGTCTTCTACGACCACAATCGCTTTGTGCACTACTCGATACTTGGTGCATGTCAGTTCTAAGCTCAATTTCGATTAAGTTCTCAATATAAGTTCCACAACTCGTTCCCTCAATCATGTAGTTAAAAGAGTTATGTAAATTCGATAAAACGGTTACGTAGATTGTTTTTTAGATGAGCACAGGATTGAGTAGGTTAACTGGGAAGCTGTCTTTTACTTCATTCTTAGGTTTCATTATTCATAACCAGAGGTGGAAAGTTCCAAGATTAATGCCAAGTTGTTATGCAAGAAAGCAAACCAGAATGGCAGGAAAAGATCAGATTTTACCGATTGAAAAAAATCAAGGCCAAACCAAGGATTGAAAAAGAGGAAGAGTTTCAATGTGAAGAAGTAGAAAGAAATAAGAGGCGAAGAATCAACGTATTTATAGCTGCCCAGACGGTATAATGGTTAGGGGAGCCTGACTGCGATACCAGAGGGCACAGATTCGAATCCCAGAGAAGGCATGGATGTAAAATTGTCTGTCCCTTCATAGGAGGCAACGGTGGGTGCCTCCATAATAAAATGGCTACCACTTCTGGCCTTAGTAGCGGCCAATGCCATTATAGGCAAGTGCCCGTCATTTGTAAAAAAAAAAAAAAAAAAAAAATTATATATATATATATAGCCAGCCTTTTAAGACCTGCCTCTATTAAAGTCTGCAAATATTTAGTGGTTAGCTAAATGGAAGCATGGCCAAATAGAGGATTATTGTAATAAGATATGTCCAAATGAATGGAGACAGCACCAAGAAGAATTTCAAAGCAAGCATAAGAGCCAAATAATGAACTGGACAAAAGAAAAAGGATGGGTGCTGATTAAAACAAAAGGTTAAATATTTTTTTTTTTTTTTGTCTTTAACATTATGAAGCAAAATTTCGTATAGCAAGGTGTGAGGGGTTCAATCTTTTATCTAACAGCTAAATGTGTAGGGACCTCGTGAACAGCTACGCTAATAATCGCTTTAGTTCAAGAACAGAGTCATAAACTCAAGAAGGGTTAGTTACCCTTTATTTCTCAAAATAAAGAGTTAAACAGTCGGCCCCTTTCTCAGGGCATACAGCAAAGCCTCCACTTGGGCTTGAACTCTAAATAATAACAAAGACTTGACTAATGCTTAACTAAAAAGATATAGCTGAAGCTATCAAAATTCTAAGTAGTTGGCCCTTAAATATCGAATAAGTTAGTGAAGCTATCAATGGCCTGAAATACGGCCGAGTGTAGTAACAGCTTAGAGAGAGATGTAGCCAAAAGGCGAACATAAGTTAGTCAGAAACTCCGAGGCTCTCTCTCAAAGTCAGTGGAACTTCGACTTAAATACAACTTACTCATTTGCATTAAATGCGATTCTCAAAGCACATTCTGGTAGAAAATTGTAAGCTGAAATTAGGAAAAACAGGAAATTAGCTTTAACTAAAATTAACTGTTAGAAACTTAGGATAAACCTTATAAGCAAACACTTTGAAGTAAATCGTCAAAAAACTTAATTGAAACTTTTTAAGTTTTTATTTTACAAAAGTTCTGGACAGAATTTCCATGAAATATTTTTATCTTGTTTAGTAAGCAAATTGCATGTTTTAAAGTACATTTATAGGTGAACTGCACTGAAGTATTTTCATTGAAAGTAAGATAAATTAGTTAATAAAATTGCAGCTAATCTATTAGGAAGAACTGGTAAGCTAATGTGCTCAAGATAAAAGTCCTTTTAAGACGTGTTTTTCCAGATCCAGTTGGAAAGTACAAAGAACTTTCATTAAAGATGATTTGAAATACTGTGCTTATTGTAAAGGAACCACAATTAGGTTAGGCTGAAAACTTTTCATAAAGTATGTTTAAGGCCTGTGTATTCAAAGTCTTTATCCTGTTTTGGGCAAGCGTGAATTTTTTTTTTTAAACTAAAAAGTTGTTTTTTTAATTTGCATTTCTATTATTTCTGATTTAGTTAAGCAGCTCATTCCCTCCATATGGTTATGTAGTTTTTTTTTAGATGTAAGATGGTCTATAGATAGGCTGTGCTGGTGCAACTGATTCTAGAGAATGTCCAAAGCAGTAAGATATGGTTGAAAGTTTAGCACATTAAAATTAGATAGAATTATGGTTCCTCTTAGAAAAACTAAGATGTGAGTTCTTATCATGAACTTAATGCTTAGTCAAGCAGACTGTCACCTGTATTTTTAATTTTCAAGTAGAGATTTGTTAAGTATTCTTAAATGAATTTTAAAATGTACTTGTCTACAAGAAAATTGAAATTTATTTTCCATGATGATAACTTATGTACATAAATTTAATTTTACCTAATATGCAAATTCAAAGAGCTAGCTGTAAAATTAGGAACCCAAGCCCTCTTAAATCCAACAATAATTCTCATACAGTTACAACATATATTCAAATAAATTTCATTAACTAAAATGATTTGAAGAAAAAAGAATTTCCATGCTTTGAAAAACAAGATAATTCATTGATTAAAAACATTTCATTCTGATATCAAATTTATTAAAAATAATAAATTTTTATATACCAGTGCTGGTTAAGGAATCTGGTGACTGCACTGAAAAATTTTCAGAATGCTGTGAGGTAGAAACTCTATTTGTATTTTCCATTGCTTGTTTTTGTTGTAAAAGTATTAAACCAGCTGCAATATCCGATGGCACAAGATCTACATCCTGATCAGAAATGGGAGAGAGAAAAAAATAAGTAAATCATTACATTACATTTTAGTACAATTATACATCAAAGGTCAAAATAATTTGCTAAGGAAACCACAATCTAGTGGAACAATTACAACACAGAATGAACACATACATACACGCAATAAAATTGTTTGTAAATTGTATAAGAAATGTAACCAAATTACTCTTCACTGTCAGATCACAGAACTATTAACCCTCAAGGGTTAAAGATGCAAAACTGCATATGGAAATATGATTTTCTATTTCGTTACATAAGAAAAATTCTGCCAGCTCTTGATCTACTTGATTTTGGGTTGGATATATATACTGGAAAATAAGAAGTCCAGGTATAAAGTTAGATCTTTTTGGAATTATACCCATTCGTGATATTTTGGATTATACTGGAGTTTTGAAATATTATATTCATGATATATTGAACATGTACTGCTCAGAATGTTAAAACATTACTCACAAACAGGTGGGAGGAGAAAAAAATGAAGGTGGATGATTTTGAAGACTTAAAATATCACACCTCCTTAATTAGCTTTCATCTTTTCCTGGAAATTCATAATTTTGTAAAAGGTGTGTTCTACAAAAATGAATTCTGTGGCAAGCATACACACCCATAATAAGGCAAAAACACATACAGATAATTTTCAAACACATGACAAGTAAAATTTTATCTATTATTAATTCTTTTAGTGATGTTGACATATATGAATGTTTTCTGCCTTTCCTCTAATTGTCTAAACAAAAGAGGGTGGAGATAAAATTATCTATTCAAAATTTCTTTAGAATACTTTTAAAAAATATGGCAGCAGTGATAATATATCTTATCTAGCAGTAACTGTTCTTCAAATATTGTAACATCCATCGCCTTTGATGTCTTAAGTTCTAATTATTTCAAGAATATTGTTAATAAATTTCAAACAAAATAGCATATAATTTAGAAGTTTCAAAGATGGCATTAACCAGAAAATAAGACTTATAATATTAGCTGTATTTTATAGTTATAAGCACGCACACAAATACAAGTATATATATGTAGGCAGTGATTATTCTAAGTAATAATTTCCCCATAACCACAAATTTGATTACAGGCTTTGTTCAATTAACAATACATAAATTTTCTACTGTGCTAATGTCCATATGAGGAAAGAGAAGGTTGCAAAAAGATGTCAATTATTACAGAACGAGCAAGTAACTGAGTTCAGATACTGAAGAGCTAAAACTATTAACAGATACAGAAAAATATTAAAATTCAACTTATAACCAAGAAAAAATGCTCTAATTCTAATGAAAATATTCAAAGATAACATAATAATTTTGCCATTCCTTTTTGCAAAAAAAATCAAAGAAGCATTTTAAAAAGTGATGCAGAAGCTCATTGGCTGTGAATATGAGCAATATTCCTTATTTTGTGATTCATTACACTGAAAAGGATAATAAATTTGCTGATATACCACCACCTTCTGTCAGTTCTCATAAAATTAAATAATTGGCGACACTACATAAGTACAATTTAAACCCTTTCGAGATGGCCCACCTTTGTTTAAGATGGTCATGTGGGATGGAAAGGAATCGAAGGCAGTCATCACACAGGATGGGGTTTTGCATCGCTAAATCTAATTTTAAGAATAAATAAATAAATAAATAAATAAATAAAAGTTTCAGTTCTAGCAACATAATTTTTGGTACCATTTTAGATTATTACTTGAGCTCTTATATGTTAAAATTAGCATTTAATAACCTTTTTTCTTTATTTTACATGAAAATATATTAAAAAAATTACTTATCTTGTAAAATAATTTTTGGAAGCACTATTCAAATTATTCCAAAGATTTAATTTATTAAATTGATTAAAAAAGTTCAAAATTAATAAAACAACACATTAAAGACTAAAAGAATTACAGAAAAAAGAACAGGAAAAAGTAACAAAATTTAAAATGAAGATCGAGCGTGGTCATTCACAAAGCACGTAGAAGTATCACTTCCTAACTCGTAGAAGAAGTATAATTTTTTAACTCTTTAAAAAATGAATCATCACTCTTATCTATGTTAGTAAATGGTTCATTAACCATATGTGTGTATTCTACCTCTGATATATAATGCCTTCGCATCACAATAGACTGGAGTTGAGGCTTTCTGAAATAAAAAGGGAAGGACCCGAAATATATCTGAAGGCAATGTAAAATGTAAAAAAGCTCCACATAGCCAAATGGCTACTGCTTTTCACGAGTTACATTGGTGAAATAGCAGTTGCCGATGACTGGCGACTTTGTGGAAACACTAGGTGGATAATGTGAAGGTGCCTTTAATTCTTTATTCTAAATCTTAGTTTTAGTTTATATCTTTTGGTCTAACTGCATTTGATTCTATAATTTAGCATTTTAAAAATCAAGTAGGGGGAAGGGGATCTTTTTATCAACGTGATTTTAAACACAGTTAAATTAATAACAAATGCACATATAATCACATAAATAAACTTATTAATATATCATTTATAGATTTAACACAAAATAAACAAATTCATCCATTAAACATTAGTAACAAAATTTAATATCAATTAAATCATCATAAAATGTTCTACAAATCTCTTTACTCGATTAAAACAATTTAGACTGCATATATATTAATCAGAAAAATTATACTAATCCTGTTAGAAAAATTAAATTTCCAAAATTGAGTTTAATTTAGAAATAACCATATTGTTGCCTGCTCTTCTCACCTTTAAAAAAGGGCTTTTCTAATTGAAATTTTTTATAGCATTTCTTTTCTTGAGAAATTATTCACACAGAATTGCTCTTGAAATTAGCAATTAAAATTCAGATAAATTAAAAACCATGAGTTGAAGTGAAAAATTAGGAGTCTTCTAATTTTACTGGGAGGGGGAGTGGTGTAACTGGGGGAGCAACGGGGACATCTGTTCCCAGGCGCAGCTTCCACTGGCCACCAAACTGGTGTTCCTCACTGCATTTTGATAAACAGGAGAGATCTTCAGATGTCTCCAGGTGCTAAAAACTTTAGCTACATTTCTGGTAAAGTAAAAGGGTAGTAGCTCTCATACACTGATAGTCCCAGAACTCAATTTCTTTACAAGTTTATAATCTAGATTATGTTTACTAAGAAAACCTAATTTGCTTTACATGTTCCAAAAGCTGAACAACATAACTTTACCGAAATAAAAATAAAATAAAGATCAAACATACAATATAATGCACACACATTCCTAACATAGCTAAAAAGTTATGAATTTGTTCCATCAATTTAACATCAACTAATACTGCAAAACACACTAATGGAATTTTACAGCTTTTTTTCAATATTAATTTACAGATTAGTATTTGCTGATAATCATACTTTTCTATTAACCATAGCTGTCAAATATTATTTAGCTTTATATTCAGCGTTTGATGAAGTGCAATCTCTCTTATTCTTCCTTCCATATTCTTTTTATGTATATTCCAGTTACATTTAAATTCTTTTGTAATATCTAATGAATAGTGTTTATAATGACAGCTCATCACTCTCTCATTTGCAAGGTAAACAACAATACTAGGTTATGATATCATTTTGGCTATGAAAGTTTTAAAGCTTTACACATAAAAATACAAATAAACACTTTTTCACAATAAGAACTCTATGGATGAAAAATTATTTGTAGTAATAAAACTTTAGTAATAACTATTTTTAAATGATTTAAATGTCCCACCTACAAAATAACATAGCAATCATTGCTGTATACAATATTTAGCAAAAACTAGTGGTAAATTATTATGAACAATGACTTGTATAGCAAAAATTTCCAAATCTATACTTTTAATTAATAAAATTGTATTTAAAAAGTAAGACTCACCTCAAAATGATAAGTAAATAATTTTGAAATAGTTGAATAGGCACTCTTGCTTTGTTCATCCCTATTTCCACAACAGCAACAAAATAGACGAATTCTGTAAATGTTAAATGCAGAACAATAAATAAATCTTTTAAAAATTGATCCACATTACATGCCATCACACGATAAAATTTATGAAATTATTTTGATTTTCATATTTCCAACATATTTTTACTAAATTTAAAAGTTACAAAATTGATTATAATTATTTTTTAAGAACTGAAAGGGATTTTACCATAAAGAATATTTAGACAGAAAGTTTTATAGAAAAGTTGAAAACAGTTACCATGGATTGATATATGTTAAATTTTTATAAAAAATAATAAATAATAAAAATTTTTATAAAAAAAAAATTTAAAAAAAAATTACTGAATTTCTTGGAATCCAAGATGCCACTAAAGGTAAATCTTAATTACTGCTTCAGCATTTGAGGGGGAGGGGGAATTACTTACAATTTAAGTTACAAATCTTACATTATTTACATCTGCACTTTATGAGGGAAAGCATCTATACATTTGTTTTGATATGGTAGACCCATCTTTGCTTATCTTCCCACAACAAGCTACCTCTGTTCTGTTCCACTGATGACATTTTCCAGAGAGATGTTGTTTATGTGAATACGGCATAGCCTTGAGGACATTCTGCCTATGGGAAGAGATGCCTTTAAGCAGGACTTCCAACTGGCAATTGGCTTGTGTACATGCTACACATAAGAAAAACCATGAAAATGCTCATGCAGCTAGCCTGTTTGCAGGATTCAAACCTCAGACTGAGCTACCAGTATTCAGTGAATCGGCCTCTGGTGGGCCTTTTACAAATAAGACTTTCTGAAAACTTTGTCTGTCAAGAATCTCTTTCTATGTTTCAGATATCCACTGAGCAAGAATCAAAGTAAACAGATTTGGAGCAGATAAACATTTAGTAATACCATAGACAGAAAGGCTAATCTACTAAAATGGCTGAATACTCCATTCTATATTAAAACAACATTCCATGGTATAATTAAAAAGAAAAAGTCAAATCCAACATGGTACTGAATTCAAAATGTTCTCTAATTTTCTGCCATCTAAAACATGGAAAAATATATGCCTTACATTCAAAGCAATACACAATTATTTTTAAAATGCCCTTTAATTTTCAGTTAATTAACCCCTTAACTGCCGCGAAAAACGTACAAGATTCATTTCCCAGTGCCACGGTTTTTCACAGAGGCGTGCGTAGTTATGCGATATATTAGGGGGAAAATAAGTGCAAGTTCTATTTTCTAAAAACTGTTTACTTTCATAAAATAAATAATAAAAGAAAAAAAATGAATGCACAAAATTTAATGTTTTGAGTAAAAGTATAATAAAAAGAAGTAAGTATAATAAAAATGATGTTTTTAAAATAAAAAAGATCCCTAAAATGGAATTTCGATCAATTCATTTTTAGACCAGTAAAGTGTAATATCAGGTTTCAGTGTTAGACCTTGTGAAATCAGTATGCCTAAAAAAAAAACATATATTTCTTCTGAACTGGTTGAATGCCACAATTTTGTTCTTGATTTTTCGTTTGCAAGGTGTTCGTTCATATATTCATCTACAAAACAGTTTCAGTAACAATATGAAGCACAAGCAGTTCATCAAAAAAGATAAATGGGTTTGAACCATCCGTTATATCTTTCTTTATTCCTGGAACCTACTACAAAAAGTAAATGAAATTGGAGAACACAGAATTAAAAAAAAAAAAAAAAAAATGTATTACTCAAACAACACCAGCCAATACCACGCAGTCATTACTTTTCCTGCTTTAGACACACTCTTTTCTCCAATTTCTCCCCACACTTCTCTGAAATAGTATTCTCCTTCGCATACTTTGTGAAGGTCATTGTGGTGTTGCATTCCAAATCTTTGCGAATAATTTTACGTGTAGCAGCGCAAAGCAAATGATAGTAGTTTGGAAACAGTTAACGCATCAGCCGAGCAAGGTGTATATATACACCCGCAGCAGTTAAGGGGTTAAAATATGAAAAAATAGCCTTACATTCAAAGAAGTAGTATGTTATTTTTGTAATGCCCTTATAACTTGCAGCCATTTAAAACAAGAAAAAAGATACCCCTTACATCCAAAGACATAGAATTTTATTTTTATAACTGATTTTAAACTCAGCAGGATGCATTTGAAAAGCTCCAATATAAAATACACTTATACATCTGATTTATTGTTACTATCATTAATATCTGATTATACAGCAAAAGACAACAACAACAACAACAACAACAAAAAAAAAAAAAAAACAACAAAAAAAAAAAAAAAAAAAAAAAAAAAAAAAAAAAAAAAAAAAAACAAAAAAAAAAAAAAAAAAAAAAAAAAAAAAAAAACCTATACCGCTTCAGATCAGAGACTGTGTAGAGATTTGCAGATTTCAAGTTGTAAAAGAAAAATTGGTACTGTTGCATTATCCCCCCAACTGTGATAAGAATCATTGGGCAAAGCGCTATGCCAAAGTAGGCAACACAGAACTTTACAAAAATCTATTTTATCTGGCAGCTTGCTAAAGGTTGCATGTGTGATTTTGGAATGGTGGAGTTTCTTTTTTCTTGAACTGAATTGCATTTCAGCTATGGAATTTGTCTGCTAATGAAAAAGACAGTGTCACATTTTTTCAGAAATATAGCATATTGTTTAGTGTAGGCAGCAAAGTGTTCGAATGCAACACATTTGGCTAGCATTACTCATCTTCAACGTTGCATTATAGAAATCCTGCAGCTTGAAAATAATTTATGAACTGTTTTTAGGTGACTGTGTTAATAGTTTTCTTTGAAAACGTTGATACTTTTTTTTTTTTCTTTTTTAAAGTCTACGTGTACATGGAGAGCAATGCCAAGAATTCTGTAATTCTCTGATTATTTTGTTAAAACAGACCAAGAAAATAGAAAGTTAGGTGTTAAGGAAGTTTGTCGCATTTTTAATTTAGTTAATTTGTTACTGTTTTATGAAATTTTGAGGGTTCCTTTATAGATGTGGGTTTTATGTAATTTTGACTGTTTCATTATGGATGTTTCTTGCACCTTTAATTTCACTATTTCATTGCTGTTTTATGTAATTTTCAATGTGCTGCAATTTTTTCTTTTTTTAAATGGCTACTGTTTTTCACATATTAGGCTAGTGAAAAATTAGTCGGCAACAACTCATGACTTTGTGAGAAGGTTAAGCGGGTAATGTGATAATAATAATAATGATAGTAGTTGAAAAAAAAAAAAAAAAAAAAGGCAGCAAAAAAAATTAAAGAAAGCACATAAAAGTAAATAATTTCTTATATAATAAATAATTTTTTACATTTTTGAAACAAATGTTCTATTGCAATTTGTTCTAAAATTTCAGAACATTCTAGTTGATTTTTTTTTTTTTTTTTTTTAAATTTCAGGTACACAGATTTGTTACTGCAGAAATTTAAAGATTTACCTTTTAAAGCCAAATTAGCATCAAATAGTATTTTTTAAGACTTCTGAATACCCCTGCCATGATCAGAATCTTTTTGCACTGGATTTAAAAACCTGTCAATGGTTTTAGTGTTAATCACTAGATAGGCATTTTCTTTGAATCTGTCACAATGTCTTCTTAAGATATTCCTTTCTTTCTTGTCCTTTAATTTGTATAAAGAAGCAATTCTTTTCACCCTAGTTTGATGTGTTCCAAATTCAGAAAAATTATCATTAAATTTGTTTGAATAAAAAATATATGTGACCGAAATTTATACTACCTGTTTATTAAAGTGAGCTTGGAAACAGATATTTAAAATTTAAAAGTTTTACAGTATTGCAATCTTATAAACTGCTTGGATGTCAAGTAATAGTGGATTGAAGTCTTTTATTGTACTTATGTATGGTACAATAGAAGACTTTATGGATTTTAAAAAAATGAATATTCAAATGCAGCAGTTCTTAAACTTTGATCTACAAAGTTCTGGGAGGATCCATGAATTGAGTCAGAGGCCCCAAGTGATTTTCAAATCTAAAATTGGTTTTTTATTTAATTTTATTATAAAGAATAAAATAAAAATATCCTGCAAATAAAATGTTGCGAGTTAGAAAATGATTTCATTTGGAAAGGATCCCTGAGCTCTTTAAGTACTACTGCACTAATGCATGCTTCCAAAGACTCACTAAGGACTCACTTTGTAAATATTTACTTTATGGGCTGCAAAATTCAACATTTTATATATATCAGATGTAAAAAACTAGACAGAAATGCAAAAAATGCATAAATAAAGTCATTTTACTTACTGCCACTCCCATACTTTTTTAGCCTTTTCAACACCAGCAGAATTTAAATTAATGTAGAGAGGCTGTGGTTCTCCTCTCTCTACATCTGCAACTCTGTGACCAGACCCATTGTTTCTGTAGTTGTTAATAGGATCAAAAACTAATAACATACCAAAAATCATAACTCCAAGCAAGGACCAACTACAAATTGCTATGATCTAAAAGGAAAACATATTCTTAATTTCATATTCAAAATAATATGCATATAAATGTCAAAAATTTTAAAATATGTATAAAATTCATATAGATTTATGCTAAATATGTCCAGTCTAAATGCTTTCTTTTTGATAATAAAACTTTAGAGAAATGAAATAAACCAATCCAGGCAAAGATAGAGATTAACGTGATAGATGAGGACACCAGTACTTTGCTATGGCTTGTTTTCAATGTTATGCTACAGGTGTTATGTACTTAGTACACTAATGTGAGTGATTATCCTGGCTTTGACAGCCTGTTCTTTCAATATGTATCTGCAGAATGTTTGCTGGTTTGCAATGGGAAAATGTAGATGATACCTTGATGTGAAGGAAAATGTGTTGGGGTTAATAAGCAAACATTCCTGAGTTTCTACATATACATTGGTTTTATGCTGAACCTTCAGAAATATTTTTAAATGGTCCATGACCAATTAAGTTAGATACTGTAAAGCTATTTTTCACTCTTGATTTATAATTGACAGCATTTCTTTAGTGATGTTTGATGCATACCATTAAACATCAGTTTTTAAGATTATAATGATGCTGAGCGATCTCTAAGCACTTAAACTATGTTTACACTGGTTCGTAGGCATGAAAAGTGGAAATGCAGGAAAAAAGTGTTCTCCAATGCTGTCAATTCATGCCAGAAACATTCACTTTAAAATTTTTCATACACACTCACTAGAGGGCTCTTCATATCAGAAACTTGAAATATGTATTCTTTTGCAGTATTTTGGCTTCCTACGGTTATATTTTTTAATTAATATGTATCAAATTTCTGCTATATCAAAATTCATGCTTCTTGCTTTACATACAAAAAGAAGCAGAAGGTAATGGGTTATATTAATATGTGAGAGGCAACTGCAGCAAGGAGATTGAAGTAATTTTAATTAGCAGATATGCTTGAATGACACTGAAAGACTTTTAATTAATTTCGTGTGACGCTTCATCAATTCAAACACTTATTTTTATCAGAATATCCCAGAAAGCAATCATTGTACATATATCCTTTTTTATTTTACTTATGAATTTTGTTGAATGATAGTAAAAAAAATTCTTATTTGCACCTTTTGATTTCAGTGAATCTGTCATGGAATAAGACACTTTAAAATTTGTTGCATAATGTATGTCGTACTTTCCTTAATGAACCTGATTTAATTAAAGTAATGAAATATATATAAAGTATGGATTTATGGGATTATCAAATATCACACCTGATAAAAAGAAGCAGTTTCTAAAATACTACTACTAATAATAATAATAATAAACAGAAAATTTTAAAACATATTTTCTGTTTTATGCACATACATTTTTAACTTTAAAGGTAACTATAATTAACTCAATCAGTCATTCACATCTTAACAAAGAGTCGTTGTCTCAATTTTAATTTATAAAGACACTTTAGTTTAAAACACACTAAAGTAACTGCATTTTATATATTATTATTTCTTTTGTATTTTGAAAATTGAATTCCACAATTAGTATCTGTGGAATAGAAAATTGAATTCCACAATTAGTAAATTTGCTAGAAGGCAAAGAGAGAGAAAAATAATAATAATAATAATAATAATAATAATAAATAAATAAATAAATGAGCATGAGATGGATTTACTCAGCCGACTGATGTTTATTAATGTTTAACAATGCAGTCCAAAACAAAAAAGTGAAGTTTTTGATTAATTTCATGAGTTGATTTATTTTGTTAACATCACTGCTCATTGGTATACAAAGATTGTATAAAGCTGCATTGCCAGGCAACCAGTCTGTGCCACATCACAAAATCTGGTTCAGGGCTCTTGGCATAAAGTTCGAAATTTTCAACTTTATGCTGACTTGGAATAAGCATCGACCATTCCACATGTAAATAAATTTAGCTTCTTTCAGTGGGTGTCGCTTAGACCAGCAGTTGTCAATATTGTTACGAAATGTAAAGGCGCGGTGAGATGGCTTTCCCGTAAAGCAGCTTTAGGGTTGCCATAAAATAGCAAAGAGGGCAGTGTTGTCACATTTGGCGAGAAATCACCCACGTGGCGATATACCATGGACGGTTGGAGAACCTTCTGGAACGAATTCTTTCCGGAATACGCCAGAATGTTCCCGAACACAAGACGAAAGCTATATAAACCCTGCTGGTCCGCAGTCAGTGAGTGTGCGTCTCTCATCGAGTGAGTGCGCCTCGTCTAGCGAGTCGTGCAGAGTCAATCGAGTTGACAGCCGGGCAACGAGTGCGAGTAGGTCGAGTGCACCGAAGGAGTCTCTTTGTGTATTGCGGTTAGTGCATCGTCGAGAGAGGTGTTGAGCTCCGGAAACGACTGAACCGAGAGTCAGGAGTTGTGCTCTGTGTGTCATCGAGTGCATCGCGAGTTGTAGCGTGGAGAGTTCGAGAGTACATGGAGTTCTGAGAACGACCAAGCAGAGTCGGTTGCTTTGCAGGAAGCTGTCTCCACCGTGATAGCCTGATAACCTGAAGGCTGTGTCGTTGATCATGTCAGCGTGTTTACGGTAGTTCATCGACGACTGTAAAATGTGTTTTGGGGCTGTCTTAACAATATTGTCTAAATAAAGTATGTTTTGATACTTCATCAAGTGTCGTCGTTATTCACTCCAAATCTATGAACCCTGTACGAACGTAAAGGAAGAAAATAACGTAACGACTGGTGTCAGAAAACGAAAAAGCGTAACAACATTCAACTTTCGAAATATATGCAATTCTAATTTTCATTTGTTAATATAATTTTCGAAACATTTGGTGTTCAGCAGCATGCCTTTATGGAAATTCAGGCTATGCCCCCGATTATGAGTAACAATTAAAACACTATTAACACATCTCACTGATACACATATTTCGTTCACATTGGAAAATTATGTGAAAAGTACAAAAATATTACCTTCTTGTACAGAAAGCTTTGCATATCCATATCACTGAAAAGGAACTTCACAAAAAGCAAGTACAAACTGGCAAATGCAAAGCAATATCAATAAACTGAGGGTGCTATGCTGCCAATTTTTAATTATTGTAAACATAGTAATCATCGCTTATTCCGCAATGGCACCATCGATCAACAGTTAGACAAAACAAAAATGGAAACTTGCAGTGATGCAATTATAAACAAGAATGCAGATGGTTCTCACAAAAATCCATCAAGTTGCCTATTGACACTCAGAAAAACTGTGTTATTAATGACTACAATAAGCATATGTTTGTAATTCAAAAGGAAAGAGAATTCCAGTTTGCGCTATTATTGATAACAGCAGCATATCCATGGATGCCAACTCTCACTTTCAAATGTCGCTAGATACACCTGCAAAAATAACTAAAATGCCACTAAATTCAGAATGAATTTCGCTAAAAGTAGATTTTAAGATACAGCTAAATTGTTTTTCTTTTTTAAAGTATAATCCATATTCCATAATAAGTTTTGTTACTTGTCATTTTTTAAACTGAATCTTCATAAAAATATAAATAATGTTCGAATTTTTCTGTGGGCTATCAAAAAGTTTTCATGGACCAATGGTTGCTGACCACTGGCTTAAACCCTGTGTCACAGGTGTGAACGGAATTCCTCCATGTTATTTATTGTGACTATGCCCCTGTGACATTTATGTCGCCATCTGAACACAGCCTTATGTTATAAAATAATTGATCCACCTCAGTTTAATATTATTTATTTATTAATTAATTTTATTCCATCTTATTGCCAAGTCTCAAAATGTACATACAGCTTTAAAGTTGGATTTATTTCCTACTTTTTAATTCTCGCACTCTTATTCCCAAGTAATTCATAACAGGAGCGAGTTTCACATCGTCACTTAATCAATTCATTAGAGAATCGAGGACTTACTAGCTGATACATAATCATTTTACTATTTGTCAACTTTTGGATCTTCCTTTCTCTTTCTCTCTATATATACACAAACATAATAACTAACAACTGCTCTCTCCTCCCAGAAAAGATAAAACAGTAGCAGTCATTCTTTTTTCCCACAGTTCTCAAATCTGATTTATTTCAACTTAGTACATCCAATTACTCAATGTTAATTTAATTTTCATTTCCTTCTGTGAATAACAGGATTATTTTAGTTAAGTAGTTAAATAACAGGACAAAATACTTATTTTTCCAATTAATAATTAATACTGGGAGATTAGAATGAGGGGGGATGCACTTGCATTACACACACTTGGTTTATAACAATATAAAATATAAGTTACATTTATATACCTTTACAGTGGACCTATGCTAATTTCCAAAAAGAAATGCTGACTTTTTATTTCTTATACTCTTTTTGCCCCAAAAATTGAGAAAAATTTATTAAAAAACTTTTCATAATATTAGAAATTTGCAGAGCAAACTTAAACATTTTTACTGCAGATTATTTCTCACATTTTGAAATGCCAAGGCAATATATCAAGTAGAAAATCATGTCCTACAAACAACTCTCTTGCCCTAATCAAATGAAAAACACCGTTTTGCTAATATTAATAAAATACACATTGAAAGATAATAGTATGCTTCTTATAGCCAGGCAGTTTTAGTTTGCTAAAGTCTCAGCTAGTTTTTGCTCATTTTACTGCTTCATGTTCTTGCTTTATAAGAGCCTGCTAGTTTTTGCAGATTTCTAACAAGAAGTAAATGCTCTCTTACCTGGACGAGCAAAACCACTCTCTGTGGTTCACACAGATGATCCTGTACTGTAAAAGCCCATTTAGTACCTAAACCATTCCATACAGCTTCCATTATCATAACCAGTAATCGAAGATATAAAATTTTAGGAAGATGTCTTCTTGGTCGAGTCTATAAATTATAAAATTACCATTTCAATCAAAAACAATCTACACAAGAAAATGGTTTCAACGATAAATGAACTAGAGAGGACAATTTATTTGTAAAAACTGAATTTTATTTCTCATCTTTCTTATACTATTTTATGATTACTAAAATCTAAATATTCTTCTAAGCTACGTAGAGTCAAAATTTAAATAAATATTAACATAATTATTACTGTCCTTCAGTTATTTCACCATGGTTGTTTGATATTTCAAATTGTTTTAGTCTAAAATTATATTGTCTAAAACACATACAGTCAAACGTCTTTAATCTGGACTCGTCGGAACTTCGGCGATTCCAGATTATCAGTTTTTCCGGATTATAAATCATCAATTTAAATCTGGTAAGATGGCATGCAGAAATTATAAAATTAAAAATATGAAACCATAATTTATGAAATAAAGAGTAATTATAATCTAAAGGGTATCAAAATGTACACACAAAAAAAAGCTTAATATTTATTTACTTTATGAAACATTTCTTTCAATGCGCGCATGCATAAAGCATACATTCTGTAGAGCTGTTTTATTTAGTTGGTGAAAATTTGACATTTCATTTTCTGTTGTTTAAAAGAGGACTATACTGGTAGTCATTTTCTGTTAAATATATATAGCATCTATAACCATAAAAAAAAACCTAGCCGAAACATCTGGTGGTTTTCACATCTGGAGGTTACTGGATTTTTTTAATGTCAGTATTTACATTTGTATCAGTCTGTACATCCGAATGACAAGACATTCATATTTTAAACATAAAATAATGTATTCAGCTTAATATATACACGTTTTAACATTTGACAAATCTAATAACTAGTCGAAATTAGAAAATTGCAACCAGAAAACTATTTGATGTGTATTCATGATATTTATAATGACAAAATATTTTATTTAAATCATATCAAAGACGGAGTACGTCGAGATGAAATACTACATTTAGTAAGGAATTTTAAGCCAAATAAAATAAAAACATCTGCCCTGAAGATGAGGATAGTGCTGACAGATCAACTTCCAGTTCATTGTGCGCCACTACGCCCCTTCCTCAGAGCAGCATGAAATTGATAAGCAGATTTCGGAATGGTTAGAGAAACAAAGGATATGCCTTTATTCATTTTTTGCAGCAATTCCACTTTTTGCTTGATGAACATCGAAATATGCTTTTGCTTTGTAGATGATCTGGCAGCTCCAGAATCGGAAATTTTTGACAGAATCAAAAGTTCAAGCTTACTTTTATAAAATTGCTCCAACAGCCTGCAAAAAATAATAAGCCAGATCCAATTAGCAGATTAAGGAACAACGCAATCTGCAACATTAACTGAAATAGCTAATTAGATAATTTTAGCTTAGCTTATACCGTCCATTATACATTAAACGCACATGCATAAAGGTATTATGCGCATGCGTAAATGCATATGGGCATGCGTAAACGCATTATGCGTTTACACATGCGCAGAAAGTTTGTAGCTTTGAGGTCCAGATTATAGATCATTCCGGATTATGGATGTCCGGATTAAAGACTTTTGACTGTATTTAAATTACATACATACACAGGACTTAATAGCCATCACCATTAAAAATAAAATTATCAAAAATGCAGTAAATAATTACAACTGACAGAAATGCTATGGAATCATTTTTATTTTAAATTAAATTCTGTTCTTTTTTCCTCTACTATTTATCTCTCAATATTTACATTTTAGAAAAAAAAATATCAAATAAATTTTTACTTTTGTTTACTTTGGTGTTCAATAGCATGCAGTATTAAAAAACAGAAAGGAAAACTGCTTAAATTCTTTTGACAGTAGATAAAAAAGCAAACAGCCCATTTTTCTATTTACCGTATATACCCACGTATAAGTCGAGATATTTTGGACAGAAAAAAAGACTTCAAAGTGGGGGGTCGACTTATACACGGGGCCATAAAAAATTTAAAAAATCGAAAGTTCAAAAATTTCTTTATATAATGCAGTTGTTTTCTTCCTGCACTCAAATTGGACGACTTATCAAATAAGTCACTTACTTGAAGTAATTTCATGACTTAAATTATGTGACGAACTAATCACAGAGTTTCATACTTTAACTAGAGTAAGTTTCGATTAAACCAAAGAATTTTTGGCCCCCGAACAACCGATCAGTATCGAGCAATAAAAAAGTTTCGCCAACACGCCAAGAAAAGAGAAATGCAGGTAGTTTTTACGTATGTATAAGTCTTTATAATAGTTATTTTTCATTCATGAAATACACGTCAAAATTTAGTGGGGGGTCGACTTATACACGGGTTTCTTATTTCTACGAATTTTTTATGTCGAAGTGGGGGAGTCGACTTATACGTGGGTATATACGGTAGCTTCTTTTTGAGGTTAGGGCAATGCTTAAAATTCTAAGCCAAAATTTTTTCATTGGATTAAAATGCTGAGAAACTATTTTATTTAGTAGAATTAAATGTTTGCAGAATTATTTTATTCAAAATTCTGTAGAGCTGTTTTATTTAGTTGGTGAAAATTTGACATTTCATTTTCTGTTGTTTAAAAGAGGACTATACTGGTAGTCATTTTCTGTTAAATATATATAGCATCTATAACCATAAAAAAAACCTAGCCGAAACATCTGGTGGTTTTCACATCTGGAGGTTACTGGATTTTTTTAATGTCAGTATTTACATTTGTATCAGTCTGTACATCCGAATGACAAGACATTCATATTTTAAACATAAAATAATGTATTCAGCTTAATATATACACGTTTTAACATTTGACAAATCTAATAACTTAAATAAATGCATCATATAAATGAAATTGGATTTTTCTGACTATCTACACCCTCATCTCCCCCCCAGAACGTATTCATAAGATTATGCACTATGCCATCGAAACTAATGCATTTATGAGGCAATCCAGGTGGACATGTAGCAGATGCACATTTCAGCACATGCATATTTCCACCTAACAAATTAGACAGTGATTTTTCTGATTAATCTTTGTTTCTACGTTGAGTACACTTTTCCCCCTCCTTCTAGTAATGAACTGTAATGTAACAGTAGAATTTGCTAGTTGATCAAGAAGAAAGCATTGCATTTCTTCAGAAATATGCCATTTCACCCAACAATAGAGCAAAAATTGGCACTCTACCATGCTGCACTTTCTAAACAATCAAATCTTATTAAAATTGAATACAAAAAATTGAAAACATCCCTGTATACATGGAGGGAACAACAACACACACAATGCCTTTTTGAGCGCACTGCCAAATCCATGCAATTTTCTAATTTTTTAAAATTAAAACAGATTAAAAAATTAGTCCTGCCTTTCAAAATTTTTCATTGTAACTGTAACCATGAGAGCTCTTTTCTTTTAAATCAATGCAATCTTGAGAGTACACTTTCAAATAATAATATATGAAATTTCATTTTGATTGGCTGAGCAGATAGGCTGTTAAGAATTCATATATCAGAGAATTTCTTTTAAGACCACCCCGTAGGTTGGCCATTTTGGGAGGAGGGTGCAGATAATCAAAAAGTACTAAAGACTGTTAAAATGCACAGACTGTAATGAAAATAATGATATATTTTAATATTCATCACTTTTTAATGCACATATGAACAGTGGAAAAGTCTCAACATCATTTAGTTAAAAGATACAAATTTAATGACTGCCACACAAAGCAAATGAACAACATTATAAAGCATAACTGTGGTGATGAAATATGCATCATATACAAGACATGTGGCCACAAATTTGATTAAATAGAAAATAAACCATAAAATTACCATTCTAATAAATAAAACATAAAAATAAATAAAACAATGCAAAAAAAAATAATAACAATAAAAAAGAATTAAAACATTTACAAATATTTACTACAGTACTCCATTCAACTTCTTAGAAACACTTGCGACTATCACGTGAATAGACGGTATGTTATTTGCTCTAATGTTTGCAATTCATGAAAGCTAATTTTTAACTTTTGAGTGTAATTTTTACATATCATAATATAAATTGATCAATCTGAAATTTTTCTTGTAATAAAGCTATGTCAGATTAGGCAATGAAGGATGTGGATAGAATTTTTAACCCTGTTCTCCATGAAAAACTTATTTCGCTCTTATTTCCAAATAAATGACCACTCAAATATTAATTCTCTTCACTCATAAATTGATTATTCTCAAAGAAAAACAATCACAGTGGAATTAAATTTTATGAATTAAATGGATTATTGAAAAAAAAAAAAAAAAGATTTAAATCATTAGGAAGCGCTTTTATTACTTCAGTTGTTAAGAAAGTTCAGTTTGTTGAAAAAATGAATTTTTGCATGGAAACTGCTTGGAAACTCACTGACAAGCCACATAAAAGATACACGAAAGATCTGAAATCTTCAGCTATTAATCCCTTGTCTGTGGAATATACTTGAGAAAAACATGCAAAAAATGAAAAATTATTTTTTCCTTTTAATTTTATTTGTTATTATCATCAAAATGTTATAGACTATTAAAAAAATAAATGAAATAAGTACTATATTCAATATTTTCATATATACGGGAAAAGTTAACGGATTACAATAATTTTTGCTCAAATTACAGCAAAATAAATCAAATGACATATTGCTCAAGATAAATATAATAAACTAATACAACAATATTATTATTTATATCAACTGTCATGATTTTCATGCCCTCTCAGATTTTCTTTGAACTTCAAAAATCCTTTACAGTTTAGTAGATACAAAAACATGGCACAGTACACAAGCCTACATCACGGTCTTTATAATAAACTCAAGTTTGGCGTCATATCCACTTTCCCTTTTCATTAGTTTTATGACAACAAAGGAAACATTGTCTGGTTGGAGTAGTCTTTTTCTCCATTGGTAGAATATATTCAGGTGGTGGAAAGTGTCGACCTGTAAGCCACAAGTTTGATATATAATAAAGGTATTCCAAAGTGCTTGATCCAGAAGATGGGAAAAATATCTTTACGT